GGAGGTTTCCCTTCCATCCAGCTTACCACCAGACTCACAAACCCACAAACACAGGAACCCCAACACACCACCACATCCGGTAATCAATACCATTTACGCACACCAGGATCTTTTACTCAGCGGAGCTTGGACGGGGACACAAGCACACAACAACAAACCCAGCACACACAGGGTGATCCTCACCGTCCAGAACAGGGTGGCGCAGGACTCGGGGCTCTTTACTGCAATGAAAGAAGTTTCTCTCCTTATCTCAATGGCTTTTCTCTCCAACCTCCCTGACTTCATCTCGGGCGAAACTCATCCTTCAGGCGAGTTCTGAATGAGCTCTACAAGTCACAGTCAGGGGGTTGGGACATGTAAACAGGATTCTCATATGTCTAACTTATCACTAGTAGTCAATACGCGACATGTACTCAACCTAAAGATTACCAATCAAAAAGTCCCACAAGGTAGAGTGTCCTAGCAAGGGACTGCAAGACAACCCTGCCTTGTATCCCACCTGCGCTGTGACCGGGCACACCTCTAGCCTGTGAGAAACGAGCGAATAATCGTCTGATGCATATCTTGTTGAATACTGAGCAGTCTAATGTGAGGAGCTAACACCTCCTCGCAAAAACTTCTTCCTATATCAAATAGCTGGCGGGCAATTCAGATTAGGCTTTAAAGTTTACTAAAACAGAACAGATTGAACAGATTATAATAGTGATTACTCACCCCGGCGCTTGACTGAACAAAAGCTTGACGCACCGGCAAGTCTTATGAGTTTCTGGTCTCAGTCTCTAGTTTCAGTCTTCTTCCATACAGCATGATGTTCATTTAGTAACTGATGGTCCCATTTAGAGTCAAACAGACCATAATCAAACTCACAAACTCAGATCAAACTGTCAAACAAATATTTTCTCTCATCTGCACTGATGTTAGTAATTAAACTGATAATACAGTGAATGAACTGATCCTGTGTACAAACTGTAAGCATCTGTTCTGCTCCCTGAGAATCTGCTCATTGATTAATCTGTTCATTATCTTTAAAAACCAGAACATAGCCGGTGGTTACAGCCCAAAGTTTTATCCTGAAGTTCCTTTCAAACAGAAGCTGTTGTGAGGGATAAAGAGTGCGAGTAGCTCTCGCAGTGACACTGAGGAAGACTGGTGGGCAAATCATTTAATCAAATCACTGTTCAAAACCCAGCACAGATCAATGACCAGCGGCTTATCCAAGTGGAAATATTGGGCAACTGTTTGGTGTTAGCACAGTTAAAAGATTTCTGTGTGCACCCTGGCAGCGCTGTGTCCTTTAATAATGCCCTAAAAACTCCAGCACATAAATGTCAGGACGCAGCCTTGCTGGTGAGTTGTGAAGAGTCATCAGATTGCTGTAAATGTCACTGCGATTATTCAGAGAGCAACCAACATCACTGTACGCTGTAATTAATTCCTTTCAAGCTTCTGTGACTCAACAATTCACACCTGATCTGTTTTAGGTTTAAGTATGAGGATTAAAGGTTACAGACACAAACTTCACTGGATATCACGCTTGAGTACCCAAATCTCAAAACAAATGGGTGCTGCGGCCCACCAGACCCCATTAAAAAAAACACTAATTTTACATGGCGTATTGTAAAATACACTTCACACAGAAAAAGAATGTCTGTCTTAATATTTGTTAGTCTTTCTAATGATTAGCAACTCTGCAGGCAGAGGGAGTGAGACACCATGTGACCTCTTATCTTTACATAGAGAATAGCTGTTAGCTGATATATCAATGATTTGTATCTCATATATATAACCTTTGAGAAACAAATGGAATCGATCGACATATTCTTATCTTCTCACATTGTCAGCATTGGTTTTAGATCACAAATAGCACCAGAGCTGGATCAGAAACCCACTCAGACCCTCTTTTTCCATTGGTCTCAATCCTGTTAGGCCAGACCACGGTTTAACAGCTTTCATGCCAGCCCAAACAAACTGAACTAAACAAGCAGACGTGTCCAACCCGGCATCACTCCCAACTCGTGAGAAATAAAAAAAACTCTGAAACTGATCGTCTTTGACCCACAGCCCGCAGTATTACCTGCCTCCCTGGAGAGCTGCATGAAGGCGTCCACCCCTTTCTCCCCGTAGCTGCCCTCTGATGCCACAGTGGAGACGTAGTTCCAGCCCATAGCCTTGACAATGTCCACCATCGCCTGGGCCTGGAAACTGTCCGGAGGGACCACCCGAGAGAAGAAGTCGTATCGCCGGTCGTCACTTAGCTCCGGCGCGGTGGATGCATAGCTGATCTGAGGGATCTGGAGGGAGAGACAGAGGGAACAGGAGGATGAGTTATGATCACACTGAAGAGCTGCTGTAGAAATGTGAGGTATAGTGTTCGTAAATCTTCCTCCTATCACAGCGTTGAGGCAGAAGGCACGAAAGACTGAAATATACTTGAGTTTGTTTCATTTGAGAGGACCACGTAATAATGTTATAGGACAGATACTAAAGGACAGGAAAAATAACAGTTCAACTAAACAATGTTTTACCTTCCAACAGGGACAGGAAGTCCTGTTTCAGGTATTTTAGAGTTTCCTGATAATCAATAAAAGTAGTTGATGACTCATCCTGCACTCTGGGGCGTATACTAATGCTGCATCCAATGAAACGCTTTCTCTCTTCTGACGCCGCCGGAGTGGAGTGTTTCTGAGGGCCGATGTGTTACAAACATCTCAGCCCGAGATGCCAGGAGACAAACCTGGCAAGAAAACCACATCAGTACTGGATTCCCTGTCGCTCTCAGAGATTGTGTTGTGTGTGTCCAGCTGTGTACATTGGAAGGTAGGCGCTTACGTTAGCTCATAGTGTTAGCTGCATAGCATTGTGGTCAGGTCCATCACTATCTCCATAAAATGTGCCAAGAAAGACTTCCTGTTATTTGGTCTAGAACAGCACAAGAACACAAGAACAGAGCCAGAATAAACCAAGATAAATTAATCATGGGATGAATTAATGTCAGACATAATAAATATATTCCAACATCGTAACACTGAAATATTTCCAAAAGACAAGCTGAAGAAGATTTAGAAATAAAGGAAGAAATGAATTTGAGAAGGAAAATTCCTTTTAAAGGGGCTGATAAAAGATGTCTTTAAAATATGAAGCCGCAGTTTAAATTATTGAACTGGAAATTGAGTTTGGTTAAGGTAAACGTAGTAACTTTTCGTCAGAGCTAATCTATGTAAGAGTATAAATGTGGCAGCAGATGTTCTCTGTTGGCTGGAAAATGAGTTTGACACAGCAAAAAGTAAAAGGTGTTAGTGGTAATTATAGAAAATCTGTGGGAGGTCAGGGATTATTTGATCTCTGTCCATCAAGGTCTTCACTAATGGGCAGCAAAAATTAAATTCCATCCCTGAGGAAAGTCTCTGAGAAACTCTTAAAGTTGCAAATCCCTCCACCAGATATTTCTTCCAATTACCCTTTGATCTGGGAGATGCTCTCACGCTCACATTACGTTCGGGTTCAGAGTTTGACGCATGCAGAGGCGGGAGGTTAAACACTCGCCTCATTATTTTTGTTTTTTATTGAAAGAGAAAGAAAAATGAATAAGACAAAGATCTGGGGGAAAATTGGATTTTAAAAATACCATTTGCAGCCCAAACACTTTTTTTTACTTACTTAGTGAGACTCTAGCACATAATCAGCTGCTTATTTGCAGTTTCTGCCTATTCTTCTCCTGTTTCTATTACCAAAGGCCTTTTCTGAGCTGTCAACATTGTAACAGGACCTCATTTACTTTAAATTGTGGTGATCAGTATCCTCCTGCAGCAGGAAAAACAGCACGGGGACTTAAAATCTACTTGAAAATCAGTTTAAAGCGATTTAATCCCATTAAAGAATTCTGGTGTTTTGGTGAAACAAGATCTGCTGGAAGAGAAGATTCTGTTTCACCACCATTTGTTCAGTTGTAGGCTGACAGAGAGATGATATTGATTGGTATGAAGGTATTTCTCCAACGTCATCGTGGTCTACGTAAAGACGTAATTTCAACACATGTAATGTTTCATATAAGATCAGAAATACTTTATTCATCCTGGGGGGAAATACAAAACTAAACTATATCAACTGATGTGACAATCAGAAGCTTCCAAAACATTATAATGGGAGAAGCTCTGCAAGTTCAGACTCAGCCTCGTTATAATGTAAATTATTACTAAATTGTGATTTAAGAATTAAATTAATTATATTAAAATAAAAGCAGTTGCAACACAGAGATAAGTTACAACTTCAGAACTATACAGTTACAGTCCCTCAAGGTACTGTAAATCATAAAATATAACAGAATTGTATTCTTTTGATATTTAACTGATCTATGTGCTGCAATGCCATCCAGAAAGCTAATGCACACTGTAACCATGATGAGGGAACTTTCTTTAATAATTGATTGACCACCTGCATTAGTTATGACTTTATATCCAAACTAGTTAGGTTAAGGACACAGCTTTTGTCCCCAATTAAGTTGTCTTTTGTCTGAAATGTGTCCCTGAAGGTAGCCTAAGTCAGAGGCACACATGCACAGCTATATTTGTCAGGACCAGGTTTTCTGCAGCCATTGGAGGTGACCTGCTACTAGTTTTGACTTGTCTGTAGCAGGAAACATTGTCAGCTCGCCCGGTCACACACATTCTCTTATTCCAGATAAACAATACGTTAAAATATGTTTGTGAAAATATTTGAGGAGAGAAATAGTCAATGCAGTAACTGAATCTTGATTCATATTTGATCAGCAGAAAACAGCGTAAAAACAGAGCTACAGACACTCACCAATGGCTCGATGGCTGACCGTCGTGTCACAAAGAAATAAAGAAATGAAGGTTCATAATTTACACAATAGCAGTTTCAGAACAATTAACTCTGTTTCAACTAATGCAGAGACAAGGATACACTTCATGATGCGGTTTAATAGAAAGTAGAGGTCTTCATGGGTCCAATCTAAAACTCACCCATAGAAGACCTGCCCGAACCCAGTGTACATAAAAACATTTTTAATGCTAACAGTTAGGCTCTTGGTTTGTTCTCTGGATTTTGTGTCAGACTCTGTTATCAGGAAAGCTCAGACCTCCTCAGCAACCTGTGCAGCAGATTTGATGACCTGATATTATGGCTCTCTCCTCCTGTGAGCTGGGTTCCCTGGTGGCAGAGGGCCCGATAAGACTACTGAAGAAGAGCAGCTCCTCAAACGGGCATGTTTGTGGTAACACAGCGGGTACCCAGGTGGCCTTGAGAGCTGGCCATGCTTTCTGAAGTAAAGCATAAAATGGCATCAGGCCAGACACGTCCACGTCCTCGAGCTCCTGCAGAGACAGCTGCCTGTCAGAATCTACTCCAGTCACACAGATGAACCGCGTACAGGGCACCGTATTATTGTGCTGACATTTTGACACACACGCACAATATGGCAATGATGAAAAGTGATGGACATTGAGTTCAGGTTGATTGCAGTTATTTTAGGCATTGTCTTGCACACTCAGAAAAACATGTAAGATGAAAGAAAGAAAGAATCCCCATTATCTCCAGTGTCCATTAGTCTGTCCCACTCTGTCATCAGGGACGGGTACCATCTGCGCACAATACAAATCCTCTAAATAAACTTAAGTTACTGGTGTGCAGAGAGACACATCACAGGGCTGACAGCAAAGAAAAGGAGGAGTAAAAACAGGAGCCAGTAAAGGTAGGAGGACATTGATCCAAACCCTGTTGGCAGAGGAGGTGGTATTTTTCTCCACAGAGGTCCAAGAAAAATTCTTCATCCAGTGGACTTTGATATAATGATTTCTGGTATTTGTAATTTCTGCCACTAGGGGGTCTCTCACATCCAAACAGTAACGAAACAGGAAGTGTGATGAGGTGGTGGTGAAGCAGCATGGATCATGGGAGTTGTTGTCTTCCCCACAAACCATTGGCGTCATAGCGGGGGGGGGGGCGGGGACCCGTAGCACGAAGTGGCGTCATTGCAGTCCAAGCCTTCCTCCCGGTTAGGAAATTCCTTCCCAGCTGTTTCATGGTTTGCGGAGGTTTCTAGCGCGGAGCCCCAATTGATCCACCAGAGGTCCTCTCCTCCCTCTCCAAAAAAACAACAGACCTGCTGCACTTAAACGCACCTAAACACACTGAATAAAGGCCCCGTTCCACCTTAAAAATCACTGCTTCTCCCACGCTGTTGGACAGACAAAGGACGTCCCGGAGGGGCTGCGAGCCAAGCTGCTAGCTTGTGCAGTTAACGTCAGGTAGTTAGCTTGTGCAGCTAACGTTAGCTAACTCAGGGTTCAAGGGAACAAATCCCCTGTATTCCCGGTCCTCAAACTGCCCTCCGTCTGCATAGTGCCGGTCTGGCCGTGCTGTTCACTAGGAGCTCCCAGTGAATCAGTGAATTAACAAGACTGCTATAGCTGCTTGATTTTTCTCATTTCTGTACAGCCTTGTGCCCAAAACAGTCCTCTACAGTTTTCTGAAGCATCGGTGTCAGCAGAAACTGACTCAACTCCAATTTTTTCAACTGAGAACCTTGAGGTGATCAGTGACAGTAAGAAGACAGAATGAGAGGAGCTCTCCATATAGTGGTATAGTTAGTCTGCTCTCCAGCTTCAACATTGTGCTGAATTATAGTTTGTCAGTTATTATATCATGGACTTATAAGAGATAATTAAATAAATAATAAAAAACTTGTCAGATGTGAACAAGATTTTTAACATTAAACATTGCAAATTAAAAAATGAAATGTTTGTTATATCTGATTGTAATGTGGCTGACAGAGCGAGCTAGCATCATCCTGGGCGTCGGCCAACTGGGACAAACACTTACACACTTAAAATAAAATAAAACTATACTGTAAAATAACTAACTGTGATTTTTAGACTACTAACTAGCTCGCCGTTGCACCCCATCAGCCAACACCACGAAGCAACCAACGCCAGCTTAGCTTAGCTACAGTTAGCTAGCTGGATGCCCCTGCCTCACATCACTCTCGTGGTAGGTGTTGGTCATTTGTAGACATTAGAGACTCCATTTATAAAACCTTAGCCAGTGTTGCACACTAGTGACACTGTAGGGAAGCGGAGAAAGAAGGCACTCGGGACCATCCTTTGGATTTTGATCCAATCTGAAACCTTTACATAGAAATCAGTCTACAGTATGTTATTTTTTATAAGATTTTTATAAGATTTTGGCAAACATTGCTAAACAGTATAACTATTACTAAAACTAATAGTACAATATGATTTAATCTCGAAGGGTTAAAAAGGCTTTTTTTAAA